GGCTGCTTCAAGGTACTTCTGCGAGTTGGGCTTAAGTTGTGAAATGGGCCTGGCTACGAACTTGCTTCAACTTCGGGCTCATTTTCATACTCGATGCAGGCTGATTCTGTCAAAACCCAAAACATAGAAGTTGTGGGCCTTCCTTTCATATTTCTAATGTTTCTTGAATTGTCCAATTCGGAGTTCGGAATTGGGAGTTAGGCCCATGTTACTGACTGTTGCCAAAACTATGCAAAAGCACCCGATTTGCCCTATTTTCTTCCAATTGCCTTCTTTATTGCCCTGAATCGAAATACAAGAGTAATGAGTACATTTAAGTGCTAAAGTAATGTAAAAAGATGAAATTTAGGGGACAAAAATTGGATTCTTTTCAGTCTCATCACATACTGCACTTTTTATCTAGCAACATTGTACTCTTCTCAAAGATGGATTTGGAGCCATTAGTAACAAGGCTCGAAACCGCATGTCTTCTGGGGATTAATTATGGCTTGAAAATTTTCATTTATTTGGTTAGAAAGTAATCATAAAATAATAATAGGGAAAGATGCTTAAAAGCAATTCAGATTAGGTAGGCATAACGTTGTAAGCACAGTCAATGAGCACTTAGAATTCTTTTTGACACTTGTCCCTTAAAATAACCCCAGCCTACCCTTGAAAAAAATTAATACTCACTTTTGACAGTTGTCAAAATATTTATCAAGTGCTAATTTAACGTTCTTACTTTGTTGTGCCTACTAGATCCGATCCCGTTTAAAAGTCCTACTTATTGTCAATTATCGAGTTTTAGATGGGAGTCATTCAATGTTGTGTCTTTATTCTCAAGACATTCGTTAGTCGAAATTGTGACCTTGGATTTTACCCTAATTGTGACCTTAAATGATGAACCTAAGGCAAAAGAAAATAAGAAATGATTACTATTTTATATTTTTAAAACAAAAAAAAATACAAATTACAAAAAAATGGAAAAAATAGATAAATAACTTCTCTCAAAGAAAAAACATGCTGACATAGACCATCCAATATATATATATATATATAAGATTTAGACTATTTGTTCCTCGTTAGATTTATTGGAGAGAAAGCAACTAAACCCAAAGGCCAAAACAGTACTGCACAAATATGGAAGTAGATCTCTCTTTCTTTTTGATAGGCATGCAACATAGGGATACATCACATGGATCATATCCATATTTTATTATTCGAGGTACATTTCACTTTCACCTGTAAAACGGTGAATTATTTACTAGAGTAAAGCAACAGTTTAGGATCTAGAAAGGATGGTAGATCCCTTCAGCGGCTGATCCTCTGAAAGGTGGAAACCTAATGATCGAAGGACAGGTGGGCTCAGGGTAGACGGGGCAATCCATGAATTCAGACCCAGATTTATCCACGCAAAACATRACTTGGTAGAGCTGATATTTGCCAAACTTATCAACAGTGCAGTCAAGTGCAGGAGTTACTCCAGTTGCTATCTGAAGGACTCGTGTGATTCTCTCCGAGCTGTAGTACTGCCCATCGGGG